AATTTTAAACTAATTGTCATGCAGTTCTGGTGTATTCGTCCTAAGCTGCTCTGGACTCCATCTGCGGTAGAAGTTGGATAAGAAGGAACAGCATAGACTATTCTGTCTACTAGCATGGTCCATCACCCTTTGCTTCCTAAATTACTATGACCTACCACCACAGCTGCCTGTTTTGCTTACCAGTCAAGCGACAATTTTTGTTTTTACTGGCATGCGCGCTCTTGGTGATACTGGAAGCACAGATAATGAAATAAAACGAATTTGCTGGGCTAGTATTCTCTTCTTCTCTACACAGAGCGCCGAAAGTAGTACCTGTTCATTTTTTCAGTACTTCTTCAGGATACTAATTTTGTCCGTTAACAGAAGTGGCCACAATTTTCCAAAACGGTAACGCAAAAGCATCCTCACAGGTCGTTTTCTGTCAGCTTGGCATACAATATGTGGCCATTGAACAGTTTGCATAATCGCTCTCTGCCTGTGTTTTCGATTTCATTTTAGAATACATAGCTAACAATGGCCGCCTTACGGAGCAGGTAGCTCGGTACAAGTTCGCCGAAATTTTATCTGCTGTGGAGCACTGTCATCGAAATAATATTGTCCACCGAGACTTAAAGGCAGAAAACGTGCTCCTGGATCACTCGATGACGTTAAAGCTGGCAGGCAAGTTCACTTTTTAAGGCATTTATTTTCCTCGATAAGACATATTTTACTACAATTGAACTATTTTCATGCAGTTGAAACTATCCGTTTAGCTTGTTCGAGTAGCAGCAAACTAGTTGTCCTTTCTAAGCCAATTGCCCTCATGTATTTGATTGTCTGCTCTTTTAGCACAGTTTGGCTCCCTTCACTCTTTAAGACGCACTATGATAACCTCCTGGTTGGGTCATACCCTTGCACACTGAGTATCGCAGATTACAGACTAGAAAAAAATAAAAACTTTAAGCTAACAGATCGAACAGGAGTGTAGTCCGATCTTTCGCCTGCCCACCAATCGTTTGCAAACTTGCTCGTTTTGCGTACCATCTGTATTATAACAACCTATAAAAGCGATTGGACGCTCAAAGTAATATTCTCGCTCACTTACTACTACTAACTGCCCATTCTACGGCTGTGATCATACGTGGTTTATCCAGACTCGACAGTGTGTTGCATGGTGCCTCTACGCGTGATGATCTGCGATGGTAGATGTGAAAGGCTCGACCCACCGTACATCAAGTGTCTGATAACTACCTCTATGTCGTGATGGACTGTGTTGAGCGTCTATTTGGTTGGCAGCGGCCGATCGGGAAAAAACAACACTGAACTGATGGAGTGAGTAACAAAATGCATGCCTAAACCTCCTCAGTCGTCTTTTAGGGTTGGCAGGAAATTTCATCGAAATACTTTCTCTGTGGGTCTTCCATACTGCTCTCGAAGGATAGTTGTCAGGCACCAATAGCCAAACGCATCCAGGTTTTACTTCGCATTTCACACACACAGCAAATAATCAACAGCTGTACAGAACACCTGACCAGATGACTGCCCAGTACAAGCGGGTATTTGTGTTTGTGGACATATCGTGTTGAGTGGATAGTCACTTTCTGTAGATTATAAAAACCTTGCAGCCAGCACCAATTTGATATCGGATGTCATCATTGCATCGTCCTGAGGATTTGAAGCCGTTCATTTATCTCGGCTGACAGCTATTAATCCGAGGGCATCATTTTCATAAGAAATCCAGTTCGAAAACAATGATCTTAGAAAAAAAATCAATTGATTTAGTGCCCTTATCCACCCGGGACAGCGCGTTTTGTAGGCCATCTTAGTAGAGCGATATCCTCAGTGTGGTCAAAACCGTGTATGGCGTTCCCATGAATCCACTTAGTGTGTTTATTTCGAATATGAGAAGTTTCTTTGACACATAAATGCGCCCGAACTGACGCCAAAATTCTGCCAGCTTGCCAACATCCTCAGCTTCTTTACGTATGACAAACATTTTGAATGGTAGTTTTGCCGTTTTTTTGTCCCGATGATCTGGTTTGGCAGAATAACCTCCAAGGCATTACTCATACGTCCCAATTGTATTTTTTATGCTACCAGAACACACTTACAAATAGGGAACCTAGAGGGCAACCCACATGCATATCCCTCAAATATGCTGATAGTGATACTGATACTCAGAAGCGCTTTTGTACTGTATTTTGTTGGCGACTGCATCCACTACCTCACTGTCTGTCACACGCTCCCTACGTTTTTCTATTCTTCATCTGGGGTATCTTCACTGAAATCGTGCTGATTAAGTGAATCAGGTCTTGCGGAACCTGCTTACACGAGGTTCTATAACCAAAGCAGTGTTTCTGTTACTGGCGAGTATGATGCTGATAAAGGTGTTTGTAGTAATAATACTGGTGGTGACGGTGCTACTGAGGATAGTTGTGTTTATGTGGCCTTATTGTTCGAGGCGTTTTTTGGCAATTACAACAGCCCTGCACTACCTATTTACTAAGTGGAAACAATTTTAGTGTTCTAGCGTGCGAGTACTCTCATTTTTCGTTCGGGCCTCTTTTAAGGTATTCGTGTTTTTCTGTCCTTCGCTCTCTATCTTATCCCTCGGTGTCACCTCAAATGCCTTCGTTTGTTTGCGCGTTTCTTCATTTTGACGGCCGCTGGTTAGTGCTTACTACTGCTCGTGCTCTAATCTATCCTCTCTGCTATAAGTTGTAGCCTCATTTTCGGTACACGTGCGTAATTTGACAGCCACGTGAATAGGCCTCTGCAGACTGCACAAGAGTTTGGTTCAATCCTATGTGTGTGCGGCTGTGTCCCCATGTACTGCTTATTTGCTGTCAGTGAACTAGTCTTAAACCAGTGTACGTTCGGCTAGGAAAGAAACCGCCCATGTAGTTCATCCAGCAGACACATTCTTGTCCCTGGAAGAAGCGCATGGACGCACTTTTGAGGTTTGATTTTCAGAGGGTGCAATGAAACATCGTCATCAGTCCATCATATGAGCCTTCATAGGCGCAAACAACGGGATAGGGGAGCAGCTGCCTCATGCGCAGCTGCCTACTCCAATATCATTGGTAACTCCAGAAAGCTCTTACGAATATGGCCCTCATACGCCAAAAAACTTTACCGGACGTTAGAGCAAACTCAACCAACATAAAATGTTCTTTCGTCGATGATGATGATGATGATGATGAT